GTGTGTGTGTGTGTGTGTGTGTGTGTGTGTGTGTGGAGACTGGGTGCGTATTGGAGAGGAAGCTTCACGCCTTCGTAACGTTACTCTGCTACTTTCACTCTTTACCAACTCGATCAAGTATGAGCTAAACAACTTGAGAACAAGTGCCCGCTCGCACACAAACTTAGTTTTACTTTACTTAAACTATGTCATTTTGATGCTAAGTACATTCTGTTCCCATCAAGGTTTTCAGGCATCGTATTTTGTACCTGTGTGCTTTGTCAATAACGCCTTCACTTTGTTTTTGTTATGGCACTGCTCGCTCCGTGACCCGCGGAAACTCAGTCGTAACGTTTCGACACCCCCGAGTAACAGAAATGGTTCAGCCGGAGGTCACCTAGGTCAGGCTACCGCCGATGTGTGTAGTCAGAACTACACACTCGGGGCGATAATTCTTCGCGGCGGGAGGGTGCGGAACAGCCTGTTTTGGGAGCAGTTGTAAAACGTGGAGGGCATTTCCGAACGAAACGAAATATTGGGCATGCGATGGGGGAAAAGCATGGCTTTTTTATTTTTTACTTGTAGTTTTGACGTCTTTGCCTACGCGAAGCAATTATTATATGGAATCTTGTTTAGTTACATGTGTCCTATTAATATCCTGTGTCCACCGACACCACCCCCCTTCTGTCTCTTGTCTTTTCAATGGTTTCGTTGTTTGTTTTGTTTTAATAAAGAATGAGAGGTCATTTAGGCCTGATCTAGAATAGAGCGACAATCCGCTTTGGTCTCTTATTTTTTTGGTCTTGTGCTGTGGGTTCTGTCCGTAGTATGTATGGTGTGGGCTGCTTTCCCTTCTTCTTTTGTTTCTCATGTTTTTATTATTGATCTACCTCAGTTCGGTCGAGAATGGCTGCCGATTTCTAAGTGGCAAAGATAGAAGAGAAAGAATAATTTGTGGTTCTGCTGATGTATGGGGATTGAGGGGTGAAAAGTAAATTACATGTACTGAGTCATGAAGACCATGTCAGTTACTGCGAAGACATTTGACATCACAGATTATTCTTTTGTTTTGTTGTAGGTGCATATTTGTGGTCTAAACCGTCAGTAATGTCACTTTATAGTGTGAAGAAACATAGCTTACTTCTAGTTTGGGATGCAGATGATGCAAAGTGAATGATGAAAGGACGAAATTCATTCAAGCTTGCCTTTTGTTTTTTGTTTTATTTTAAAAAATTTAGTTTGCCTTGAGACAGCAATAGTACAGTTTGTCACGATGCGATGGAGCTCGTCAATTTTTGAGTCACATTGAGTTATTAGTATCATCTTAAAGCCTGTTTATTTGCTTTAAATTTGATTTTTTAAAATACCCACCATCTCTCTTGAATAGAAGTTGCCTGGTTTCAGAAGTATGATTAGATATCTGGCGAGAACATGGCCTCCAAAGATTATAAACTTTCATAGCTTGGTAGTTTTTCCTCAATTTCATTACTTTGACAAGTGTCTGATTTCACCATAATGCCTCAAAATCATTGTAAAAAACTCAAGACCGTTTGAATTCTTTTACATTGTTTTTAATACACAGAACTCGGTATCTTTTATCTGTCTCTGTGTCTGATGAAGTATCTCTTGCTTGTGTCCCCAGAACGCAGCGGCGCCAAGTCCATTGGGTCAAATGCCTCCACAAGATGGGATGCCAGGCGGTCCCATGCCCCCCAGTTTCTTCCCTGTAAGTAGAAACAGTGAGAATTGCATGTGAAGAGGGCAAAACATTATCACTCCATTCTTTTCTCCTCACGTAATATGAACTTTACCTACCTTTGCTCATATTTGCCATTTGATCATGTATCTTTGAAAATTCTTATTAGGGTAAAATTAAACAGACAAATGGTGATGCAAGCAAAAGATTTGAATAATGAAAAATTATAGTGACTTTCCCTCAGGAAAGGAGAATTATACTTTGCTTTCTGCCCTACTTCTGTAGTGTGTGCGTTGATCATCAGTAAAAATTGGTCATGTGTAACTACTTTTTACATAAGTGTAGATCAGCATATTATTTTCAGGTTGCAAAAGTGTGAATAATTTAGTGTAGGTTAATACTTAAATTTGCAACTGGTAACAAGGGATATAACTCTATAACAAAAATGTGAGATGAAAGTGGAGACTTTTTCAACGTCTGTGTATTATCAGGTTAGGTAGAAAGTTTCATTTCTAATAAAAACTGAGAAACTTCTGGTAGATTTAATTTATTCAAATTCAAACTGGCATGAATTAAGTAGAGTATATTGTGGGATCATTTTGTACTAATTCTTCAATACAGTTGGATGTCTAATAAATGCGAACCTTGGATTTTTTTGTGAGCTATGATGAGAACTGCATCTTTAGGAATCTGAGAAGTTTCTGGACTTTTTATTAGTTCCTGTGAAAGTTCACTCACACTTTCATTTTTTAAGGTTAGCATTCTGCTTTAGTGATACTTTTAACAATAACAGAGAACTGAATGGAATAGAATAAGGAAAGTTATTGAAAGATATTCATTTATTTACGGAAGAGATCACATATGGACTGCAGCTGTCTTTGTCTTCTCGTACACTTTTCATACACGTGATGTTAGCTTGCACACACACTTAACAGCACTCATATTATGTCCTATTCAAAAGCATATTTAGCTGCCACCACAATTTTGTTTAAATCTGGGATTTTTTTGTGTGTGGGATTCTTCTTTCCTGTGTTCTTTTTCTGAGAATGAGTCTTGCAAGGTCTTGATATTTTTGCTATTTGAACATACTACTAGTTGTGTGTTGGCCCTTCATTATGATTTACAGTGATTTGTAGAAATAACTATTGTTTTAGATTCTGGTGTTACTCTATCATGTACCATGTTTACAGTTTCCACTTGCATCCCACATGCATGGTCCGCATCCTTTTGACCACAGTTATCCAAGTACTGCATTGCTCAGCATTTTGTGCTACATTATAGCAATTATTGTTAGCTCAAATTAATAATCAGTACCACTTTTTCTTCACTTCCTTTTCATAATTTTGAATGAGTTGACCATTTATTGCCTAAGCGCATTCTTTGTAAGGGATTGTAATCTAACTGACAGTAGTGGACAGAACATTATTCATCATAGATATAGGCTGTATTATGGAAAGGATGTCTACCATATAGTGTCTTCCTCCCTTCTTCTGAATGTGTCATGGGAGGAGGGGGAGTAGTTTGGGTTGTTGTTTTTTTTGTTTGTTTTTTAAATCAGTCTACGGCGGTAATGCTCGCAGACTTGACGGGACATTTCTAGATGGATTGTGCTGGTTCTGCTGATTCTCGAGCCGTACGTCCGTGTTTCAAGGGCGGCAACACAGACAATTGTACCATGCCAGGAAGAGTTGCTTCCCCTGCTAGATTTCCCATAATGGAAAAATCGTGATCATGTCCCCTGTCTGATGTCTTGGTTGGGGGCAAGGAGGTTATATACAGCAAGGTCCTTGGTGGGGGGGTGGGGGGGTATTTTGTGTCAGGTTCAGTTGGTAGTAGGCTACTCTGTAGCATTTAGGGTGATTTTGTTGCCTCCTTTTAATTTCATTGTTGTTCAAAGGTAACTGGGTTTCTCTCCCTTTCATTCTATTAACAAACATGTCCTCTGTGCACAGTTTGAACTTATCTGATCTGAGAGAGTTGATTTTCTGTTTTCTTCAGGGTTTCCCCCACTTTATTCTGGGTTGTTATATGTTTGTTTTTTAAAAATTATCTTTACGGGTACACCTGGCTTTTATTTTGCGGTGACGCGGTTTTTCCCAAGTGTACATCTTTCAAATCTTGGTCATGGACTAATCACAGTAGCTTGCTGTAGTTTTGTAAGCTGGTCGAGTGAAGGTGGTTTGTTTGGTAGTTTTTGGTTCAGTGGATGACCTGGTTGCTGGTTTGTTACTACCCTTTGTTCGGTTGGTATGTATTAGTGTTTGTTGACTGGCTGGTCTCCCCTCCGTCGTTTGCAGCCTCCCGCCTCCCAGCCATCCCCTCACCCGCCACCTCACAATCCCATGATGGGCCAAAATCAGGTATGTAAAAACCAGAGGACGCATCGACACGGAGGAGAAGGGGGGAGGGCGAAGCGTACTCTCTGGTCTAGCTCCTTTGGTTTTTTTAAAATCTGTGCAGATCTGTGGCTTCCTTAACATTCATTGTGTTTGTATCTGTAATCCTGTGTCATTTTGTTGTAGCCTTTCGGTTTATTCAGCAGTCTCCTGGTGATGTTTTTTACTTTAATTTTTTTTTTTATTTCTAATTTGTGATATTTAGAGAATGGCCCTCTCATTCTTGTGCATGCTTTGCCTTTACCCACACCTTGTTTTTCTAATTGTATCATTAATTTGCTGCCTCTGGTATGCTGTTGTATTTTATTTTTTGTACAGCTGGTTTTGTCATTATGTTTTCTATATTCTTACAGTGTTACAATTCCTGCTGTGTGTGCCGGTGCAAAATGTACTTTTTGGCTACCGTGCTGTCCTGAAAGTTTTCCTACTGTAATTGCGTTCAGCTATAAAGAAAGATGATGATTAACATAAACTACAAGCTGTAAAAAGTCCCCCATCAATACGACAGAAAGTGAAGATTTAAGTTCTGAATTTGGTGCTAACTTGTTGTGAACTGTTAGGAAATTTTTATTTTTAGATGAAAATGTAGCTGGAAAGAGCAGTGTTGTCATTCATTAAAAAATGATATGGCTATGTCAGACGTTGAAGAGAAGTACATGCACACACACACACACACACACA